TCCTGAAAGCAACGATCATCAAAACGTTATGGCTCTTGGAGCGGCAGGATCTCTCAGAACAGTGGCCAAGTGTCTACATGTTATGCCTTTTCCACGAGTATTTTCTGTGAGAAATAGGAATCGTCATCTTCCAGTTAGAGGGCATGAGTCACGGCACAGACATTTAACTGCGAGTTTTCTGGGGATCCATGGAGATGGTGCCCCTTATTTTTTTTATCATGCTGTTCTTCTCCAGACGGAATTTCCTTCTACATCTAAGCAAAGTCACAATCCTTTCGCTATCGCTGCTTCGCAAAGGTTTCACTTGTTACATTTCACTTAATTCAAAATGAATGAAATGAATCTGAGATAAAAATTTGCATAAAATATTTCAAAATAAGAGCAAAATATACATCTGAACTAATCCGAATGTTGTTTGTTTAGTTTTTCCAGTGAAGATCGGCTACGGATGGAAGATTCTAGAAAAGGACAGAATTAAAATTAAAATGCTGACTTCCACTGGCGATGGCTACAGTTAGAGTCATTGAAGGATTTCCTGTCAGGTGTACGGCGAATGAACATAAAGCAGATTAAAAAAAAGAGGCAATCCTGCTCTAAACGTGACTAATTAACTGTCGCTACATTCCGCTAATGTTTCCATGGTTTCCAGCTAAACGGCGTTTTCTGGACAAAGCGAAATTCCGATGAAACTTGGAGGGAAATGCAAGAGAAACAGGTTTGTTGAAGTTGGCGTTTCTGATTAAAAGAAAATGTGATCTCACATACACTTATATGTACAATGGATTTGCCGCAGTCTACGTATGAAGTATTGCCTTAAGAAAAATTAGATCAGGTAGAATTATATAATTTCTAAACTTTAATAAAAAATTGAATCAGATTGATACCACTCTAATTCAAATTCACGCTGGTGTCTCCACAGCGTTATGGCCAATGACCAAAGTACGCTAATGCACGAGAGGACGAAGTACCTTGTCTCCAGTGATCTGTAACTGGAAGAGCCCCTTATGATTTTTAAGGCGTTTTGTATGCAACAGGAAGGAAAAGAACTCTCGGACTTCAAATCTGGATGGAATGATTTGGGTCACCTTCCGCATTAGTCACAAA